CGCTCTGACCACCAAAGGGAGGAGGATGCTCTCTGACCCTGGCTCCAAGTCACTCACAGACTGAGAGGCTTAAACAGATGGTTCCTGTCCTTGATCCCAGCTGTTCCTCTTGATCTGTGGGAGCAGCCCCTGCTGCAGATAGCAGCCTGGAGGTATTCAGGGGTGAGCTGAGGGCCACTTCCAGCACCTGCTCCTGCAATTGGCAAGCTAAGGAGGACGTCATTGAAAGGGGAGAGCTCTACACAGAGCAATTCTGGAATAAGAAGGCAAGTTAAAGCAGTCCTACCTTCTTCCCTCCATGGAGATGGAGCTACTCATGCCCTTGGTTGTCATAAAGGTGACAGGAATAAAGTGCTCAAGCCTGAGAGAAACAGGATGGCACTGGTGGTTGCTGTTTGGCACAGGCAAACACGGGCTTACCAAGAGCTGTAGCTGGTTGTAATAAAGAAACGAACCAAAGCACATCTCCAAGCCAGAAGGTGTAAAAGGCACAATCCTGCTATGCTAAATACCTTGCTGTATGCCAATTGGCTTACTTCAAAGCATGCAAGGCATTTGAAATAGTGACCAATAAAGGACCAGCTGACTTGCTCACATTAGACCTCTCTGTAGGTCTTAGCTCAATTCCACTGCACACAGGTTTATACAAATTGGGAATAATGAATAATGAAATCCTATAAGGAAGAAAAGCTCGTAAAGGTAGGTTAATCCACACAGTGCACTCAGCTTTCTTAGGGCCTTGGTGACTTCAGAGAGGCATCGTCCCCTGGACTGCTTGTGGTGGCTGGAACTAGAGTTCCCTTAGGACATGTGTGGATACATACCCTCAGTGCCAGGCTGATGGCAGGCGTCTTCCAAGACTTGTGCTATGTGGAAGCAGAATATAGAATACAGTAGCTGGAATCAGTGACTGACCAAAACCACTGAAACAAAACCCCAGTACTTTCCCCAAACTCCTGCCAACTCCTGTCTTTTCTATTGAATTGCAGCAAGAATTCAGCCTTCTTACCCTTGTAAAAAACACCATGCAGAGTTACATAGCCAGGTTCTCCCTATAAGACAAAAGTAATGGCCAAAACAATTGTCAGGTGCAGGGTTCAGCACAGCACCTGGTTCAGGTGTGGTTTACAACTGGTTACAAACCTAAGGTATTGAGAATCTATCAAGAAACATTAAACACTAAGCTGCTGCCTCTGACTTCAAGTCCTCAACCACAATGTGACCGTTGTACACAAGGTATGCTGGCATACCTCTGCTGCTGGCCGCAGTCAGGCAAGTGATGCCATGCCTAAAGTTTAACCCAGTAAGACAGGTCTTAACGCTGTACTCCTAAGGCATAGCTGCAGGAAGAGGTCTGCTTCACTTCGGTGTCTCAAGTCTGCCTTTGCACTGTCTCCTTGCTCAGTCTAACTATACTAAATCAAGCAGAGAACGCCAAACAAGTCAAGGTAAAAGAAACCTGTGGGCTCTTTACGCTGCTTATACGCATCCTGGTTTGAGTCCTTAGAGTAGATTACTCTCCAGATACAACGTTTTATGAATGCTTGATTTGTTTTGAGAGAGCTTTTTTATATCCTGCACGTTTTATGCTCCTTTAAATATTACCTTACTCTTGTCTCACCTCTGCTCCAAAAAGATACCACAGCAAAACAGTCACTTTCAGATACTTAAAGAATAAAGTTCGACACTGGTGTAGGCACATCCACTTAAGTCAAAGATGTCTTAGAGATGAACAAACAGAACTGGTAAATGTTAGACAAGCCGAAACAAATGAGGAATTGGATATTAAATACACCAGAAAAAGGTGACATTTTTCAACAGCTTACAAAGTCTGAAAGATTAACATTATACTTAGATGGCAAAATTGGATCAAATGAATTGAGATTCCTGCTGGGAGACACACGTATAAGTGTGAAGCAGGTCCCAAGGGAGAAAAAAAAGTGGATCTTCCAGCTCAAAATGTTCAACTTTATCTTACTTTTTGTCCCCTAACCCAGACTATGTATATGATTTCCTACCTGCTTGCTCCTTCCCAATAACTTTATGTTAGCTGACTTCATAAGTGATCTTAAGGATATTCAGCTCCCCTATCTCTCATTTGTATTGCAAATTAGCTATTTTATTACTTCACTAGTGAAAAATGCATTGGAAAAATACGCAAGTAGACAAAGCCCTCATTGCACAGCAAGTCATCATCTTCCCTAGAATGCTTTTAAGGTGAGCCCAACCTCTTCTTCTTCCTCTTCTTCCTAAAACTTTCAGCTATAATCAGCGACAGTTTGGGGGTTTTACTCTTTTTTTCCTGAAAGAAAATTAAAATAAAAATGATGCTAGTAGGGGAAGAACATTGATTTTCCCCCAAACTGGTGATTTACTGTCTAAGATTATGAAATGCAAAAGAGAGAATGTTCTGATTTTTCCCTAAACATAGACTTTGCTGTTTGAAGCCTGCCTTACACCTTATTGAAAGACTGGTACCACTGAAGACTGTTTGAAACGTCCCTTCATATGATTCTACTCTCACTTGTCTGTAACTCAATCAAACTTCTATATTTTGGTCTGACTTTTTTAAAGTATTTAAAATAAATAATAAATATCTCAGGTGTCTGCCTCAGGCTGCAGTTTTTTGGCAGCATTTCAGCCAATATTCAGCTATTTCAGCAAATGAGACAAGGATGTGCTGGGGGGGGGGGGGAGTTTAACTTGCACTGAGTATCCTGATGACAACTCCTTTGAACAAGTTTTCTGTGCTTTAAAGTAGGGAATAGAAACTTGACAAGAGAGGGAGGGCATCAAATGAAAATGATACGATGATTCATTCCTCCATATGAAAATTTGAGCCACTGGGCCAAGTTATAAATCATCCAAAAATTGCAGCCTGTATAACTGTTAGTGATTAACAGCTAAAATTCTACATTCAGCGAACACATTCATGCTTTTCATGAGTTTTTAGTGACATCCAGATTGCCTATATAATGGCCTCAAAGAACAGCTAAGAACACATCTGTCTCCTAAAAGATTTTGTACGTGAGCCAATTGGACATTTGCAAGCCCCGGACTAAATATACATTACAGGGCTTCAGGAAGAACACGGGCTATTCTGAGATGAGGTGAGACTGGGCGATAGCAGGACTGGGGTAGGACACATGAGAAGAGGAAAGGAAAAGCACACTGAGAAGCCACTCTCCTTATAAGAGACTTATAAATTGTCCAGTCTAAAGAAGCTGGGTTTTATGGGCATGGCTCTATTTTATGTTAAATTGCAGAGCATGCAACAAGAAGGAAGACAAATCTCATGAGACCAAAATCAGACAGGAAAGGGAGGGTGGCAAGAAAGGAGATGAAACAAAAGCAGTACAAGTCTTCAGGTATCATGGATCTCTACACCCAGGACATGCTGTCTGCAGTTTAGCTGTTTTCCAGATCTTGTATCATTGCGTAATCCGGCTGATCACTATCCCACTCTACAGCAGAGCAACCCTTGCATCCTTCTGAACTCAGAGCCTAGGTCTTTGGTTTCTGTTGCCAGTCCAGCATGACTCCCTGTGCTCTCCTTCCAGGTAGCAGTGGATTCTTACTGGCTGCTATAAACTCTTTTGGCCTAGGCCAAATCACCAGCGCTTTTCTCTCCAAGCAGACTGCACACTGAAGCAGAGGTAACTGCAACAAATATAAAATGACACCTATTTTTCCATGCATTATACTAGGAACTGGGAGGAAAAACCTCTGCTATGGAAACTGCAACAGGAAGGCAGGTCCATGCTAATGCACAAAAATGCTGACATCTAACATCCAGTTTAGTAGCTCAGAGATGGGCAAAGCTGATCATGAGTTTGGGTAATTAATACTCCTTGTTAACGTGGCACCAGAGAGCAGAGCACTTGCCTCCATCCATAATTTACTAGGTGGGCTTGATTACTTATTTATTTTAGAACAAGACTAAAACAATACTGAAGCTCTGGAACAACCTACTGCAAGGTTAAGGATTCCACTCTCAGACCTGCTGTTCGATATTCTCCCCTCCTGCCCACCAGTGTGCATCGACAAAAGCTGCGAGGCTCTGTACTGCATACCTAAATGCTCTTTTACCTCCCAAAAGACCTTTGCTCCAGCCACTGTGGATGGTTCTCACTGCGAATGCAAGAATGAAGTACTAGTGCCTGTCAGCACGGAGTCTGGTCCCTGACCTGTAACGTCGGCAAGGTCTAATTCCATGACGTAAGGACTGTTGAGTACACGCGCGCCTGCGCTGGTGAGCTGCGGATCAGCTCACCTCAATGAGCCCACCAATAAAGCTTAGCTTTTCCACGACCCGTTTTCATCGGTGTGGGTGAGCTGATGAAGATAAACTGGTCTGCAGCAAGACAACCATTACTGACAGTGAGCTGTGGGTGAAAAGACAGCATCTAACTGGAGAGATGGCAAAGGTAAGACAGTGTAAACTTGGGATGTCCCACGCTACAATGTCCAGACACCAATGAGAGACCCTGTGACCAGTGCCTAGTTCAGGGCAGGAACCCAACCCCCCCTGACCTCTGTGCCCTAGTACTTAGTTTTGTCATAGGTTTATCTTTGTCAATCCAAGCATTATACGGCTAAAATATACCATATACTTAGGCACAGCTCTCGGAGCAGGGGGATTTAACACCATTTCCCACCATTCATATTCACATCAGACCATAAACCACTCGTGCCCATTAGCACGACGAGGGGAAAACAATGCTCGGAAATGCAGGAGACTGACTCACAGACACTTGCCTGTTCAGTGTGCCCAGAAGAAGCCCACAGTGCTACTCTGTGCTATAAGGTTTATGGAGAAGTTAATCCATCCGCACAATAATACGGCATTATGGCTCATCTGAGGCTCAGCTTGCAGAGTCCAAAGTGTACAAACAGAGAGGCATATAGGACAAATCTGAACTAAGCGCTGTACCCTGCCCTCTGCCTGCACCAACGATTTACAAGTACCTGGTAAATGATTTATAGACCTAAAGATAACAAAGTATAAAACCCTATGACTGCTTCTGTTTTACAAAGGAGAGACTCGCTGGGTAATTTACCATGTCTCTGAAAATGCCTCAAATTTTGGTGTCTGCTCTGCTGCTTACAGGTAAGTGCCTGGCACCCTGTCTCATGTCATTCCCTTCTGGCTTGTTAAACAGTCAAGCTGGCAAAAAAAGCCTCCGTAACCACCAGAACAGCACTGATGGAAGAGAATTAACTGGAAATCACTGCAGCAGGGACATACGGGAGAGTGGGCGAGCACAAGACTGCATAGCAGGTTCTGTGAAATAGTCTTGATTCTGCTCCTTCTGACTGCTTTTGAACTGTTACTGCTCAAACTCTCAGGTATGAGGAGCGAGGATGCATTTCTGTCTGAAAGGGATGCTTACAGAATCACTTGCTGAACTGTTTAAATTGTAGAAAGAGTTGAATGCTGTTGTTCTGGAATCTTCCCTGAACGTTATTCTGATCTCCACATTTATTGTAGCAAGAAACAATTTCATATGCATTTATAAGGATCTAAAAGATCTATTTCATAAGTGATTTTCAGGACATCTGATTTGAACTGCTTAAGGAGACACTCTTTTAAAGCTCTCAGTCTGTCTGATCAGTGAACCTTCACAACGCCCTGTAACCACAGCACCTAAAATCTAGACTCACCCTGTAAAAACTGGACCAGAGTGTAAATGAATGGGACGGGGCTGCAGCACCGGCGAGGCTGAAAGGATGCTCTTCCCAAAGCAGCACAAACTGATGCAATCAGCCATCAGTGATGCACATGTTGCGAGATAAATTTCTTCCTCGCTAAATTAAAACAAACCAGGTAGGCAGGAAACTACTGTTGACTTCTCAGGTGGCTGCCTGCATCATGGAAAGATGCTCCAGCCACCTGTGTGCATTAAAAGCATTTCTTAGATCTGAGCAGTCCAGCACACTTGCAGTAAATACACCATGAGAAGAGCTAAGGCAAAATGAGGCAGACAGAATTAACCAATGCTTAATCATAAGTAAGTTGTTTTGTGAACTGGGACCACAGTCAGGTGTACTCTCTCTAAGCAGCTAGATTCTCTTCCTTGCCATATGATCCTAAGTTTTGGCTGCAGTGAGGCTCTGCAGGGAGGGAAGGAGATGGAAAGGGCCTTTCTAACCCTAACCCTCACCTAGAAACCTTCCTTTCCCCTTATTTGCACTTCCTAATCTGCTGTGCACCTGAGCTTGGCCTACTCCTAGGCACTTTTCTGTCTTCCTGAACCTCACCTCCTTCCCACTGTAGACCATCATGACACAAACCATGTCGCCTGATGCCAAGATGGGATCACAACAGCCTGCTGCCCCTCTTTTTGGAAGGCTTAAACTTTGATTTTTCTCTCCCTTATTTCTCTATCTTCCCTAACAGCCTCGTTTGCCCTCTTTCCCAGGTTCCTGTTTTCAAAGGGCAGGAAGAACTATTTATTACTGATTTTTAATGAGTCTTAAAAGTTTAACAGATCACAAACAGCTCAGTTTTTCATTGTCCATCCTTTCAGCAATGATCAAGGTGGTGGTGAATTAAAACAGAGGCCATATGATTCATTAGTGAGAGCCTGATTCCACATCATAACCTCTACTCAGCTGCTGTAAATCATTCCATAAAATAATAAACATCTTAACTTTTCTGGGAATGGGCCTTCTGGACTGCTGCAGAGTGCAGCAGCAAGGGATGGGGTACAAGAGCATGGTGTCCTGGCACTGGGATCATTACTGAAGGCTCTCAGATGACTAATAGGGGTGTCTTGCCCATTCACACAAGGTTAAACTTATGGCCACATTTGGATTTAGAAAGGAAATTTTCCAGGACCCAATGGACCAATGCTTTTCCCAATATTTTCTTGCAGGGAAAGCAGCTCCTTCTCTAGGATTATCTAGGATTTCTGACAATCGCCTCGCCATTTACCCATAGCTGACAGCTTTCCTGACCCCTGGCATACATCAGCAATGCATTCAATACCTAATTCTGCATTTAGTGTCTGTAAATTGTCTGCTTTTGCTGATGGGGGAACAAGGCTGATGCTGTAGCTCTAACAATTGCTAATGACCGAGCTCTCATGCCTTGGACCACAGAGCTCTCATGTTCTGTGCTGTAAAATTAGGGATTGTCAAAGAATAGAGACTACTGTACTTGGAGGTTTTAAACAGATGAGACCAAAACTTCAGGGGCTGGGTGATATGAGCAATGTTGAAGAACTTAACAATCAGTGATGTAGAATTTTGTCTTCAACAGATATTAGCAAATCTAACTGATTTAAGGCCTGTTACCATCCGAACACTTTAGAATACACAGCCAATGTGCATAGGCACAGGTCTTTTCACCCTTTGAAAAAACAATATAGAGGTGTTTGACTTCAATGTAACTGTACTTTTCAACTGAAAAAAAGGTGATATGTGGCCCAAGGGTGGCCTACAGAATCCAAAAGCCTATACCTGCTGCAATCCACCTGCGTATGCAAAGTGCTGACAGATAACCACATCCTGATTTCCATGGAGTGCCACGTAACAGCGAGAAATACTCTGGTGAAAACCAGATGCTTCCACCCTACTCTTTCAGTGCTTGCACTGTTGCACTGTGCTATTCTGAATCCTCAGACTGAGTCCTTGGGTCTAACTTTGTGAATCTTTTCTGGGCTTGGAATGTTAGGCAGATGAAGTACCGCGGAGTGTGGACGTATGGGGGTGTTGTGGGGGTGCCCATTATGGCTCATTTCTAACCTTAAGAAGCACATCTGAGCTGCAGCGTTTGATTTGCCTTTTCAAAGTTCCCAACACGTCAGCACCAGCCACCTCAGCAAGGTTAAAGTGTCCAAGGTTGAAGTTTAGCTCTGTCCAAGTTTAGCCTCTGTCCAAGCTGTGTCCTAAAGCGCTGATAAGACTGGCATCCTTATCCCTGTGAGCTGACATTCTGACCAGTCAATCAGCAAAGCTGATAATAATAAGTTATTAGACTAAAAGGAAAGGAGTCGGAGCAATTGCCAACTTTTGACGTTTAAATTCCACTGAAATGAACAGCTTTAACAATAGGCTTTCAATTTGTCAGAAACTTGCAATAGTCTTCAGAAGCTAGGGAGAGAAAAAAATAGGTCCAGCTTCTGTGACAGTGCGCACAGACTGACTGAAGTGCTGCTAAGTAATTGTCAATTTATTTGTAAATACCACAGCAAATCAGAGCTAAACCACTTTTCCCTGTCACAGATACACACCAGGGATAAACTTTGCTCCCAGGCCTTGGGATTGCTCCTTACCATTTATATAATACTCCTGATCTAGCTCAAACACCCCCTGGGGAAGGGGTGGGGGGAAGCATATCCTGTACCATAGCAAGTTTGAAGCCTTGTTTTCTTATCATTTAACTCAGCTATTAGTCATGCAAACGGTGGCTTGCCTACTCTCCCCAAAGACTGCTAAGCACAAAATGGCTTATACTGCTTAGCTTTTAAAAGAGAAAAAGCGTATCAATGAAATGGGTGCCTAAAGCAGGCAAAGGTGTCAAAGTTTAATCCCATTCTCACCTTTTTGACTGTGTTACGAAGTGGATCATTCAGGTGATAGAAAAAGATGTCTTCCTGGGAAGATTTTATGGTTGCTCCCAGCAACCACCTTGCCTTCTAGAAACCTATCACCTTACGAGAGGGTTAAGCTTCCGTTCGAGGACGCATGAAGAGATTTTAATGCAAATAGTTCGAGATCTACGCAGGTTGATATTATTACCTTGACATTCCAAGCTATTTGATATGTCTTTTTCATAATCAGGTTGCTGGTTCGTTTTTAGTAGTCATTGCTGGGATTAAGTACACATTTGCTATTCTGACAAAGATGACAAGGTTCTGTCACCATACCCCGTCTTGAGACTCTCTCAAGCTTAGTCTTATACCAGTTCGCACTAATCTAAAATGAGATATTCAGAAGTCCTTCAGGCATAGTCTGAGGCACCTACCTGAACTCTTCCACAGTCTTTTCCCGAGCTGTTCACAAGGCAGGAAGAAAATTACACCTGGTCTGATAAACTTAAACTGAGGCAAGACATAGGTTGTTTGCTGAACACTATGCACTCAGAGGGGCTGCTCAGGGGCTATTCAGATAGATCAGCTCTGATGCTCCCCAAGTCTGGTGAGTCCAAAGGAGGGCCATGAAGATGATCAGGGGCTGGAACACCTCTTCTGTGAAGACAGGCTGAGAGAGTTGGGCTTGTTCAGCCTGGAGAAGAGAAGGCTCAGGAGAGGCCTTATGGAAGCCTTCCAGTAACTAAATGTGACCTACAAGAAAGCTGGAAAGGAACTTTTCACAAAGGTATGTAGTGAAAGGACAAGGGAGAATGGATTTAAGCTGAAAGAGGGTAGATTTAGATGAGCTATTAGGCAAAAATGCCTCACTATGAAGGTGGTGAGACACTGGAACAGGCTGTCCAGGGAAATTGTGGCTGCCCCATCACTGGAAGTGTTCAAGACTATGTTGGATGGGGCTTTGAGCAACCTGGTCTTGTGGAAGATATCCCTTCCCATGGCAGGGGGGTTGGAACTGGATGATCTTTAATGTCCCTTTCAACCCAAAACATTCTATGATTCCATACAATATAGCTTTAAGACCTGACTTTCTCTGAACTCTACCAGAGCACAAGCAAGTTCACAACCCTGCTTGCCTATTTAGCCCCAGTGGAAGACCAAGAGGATCATTTTTGGTTTCGCTAGAAATGGTCTCACCAGAGTTCTTCTGGAGGTGAATGAAGTTGGCCCTATTCAGAGATGTATAATGATCATTGCAGTAAGATGGAGAGACAATGAGCTAAGCCTGAAGGACTAGCTTGAATATAAAGGTTTTTACCTGATGTTTTTTATGATACTTATGCATCTTTGGAGCACCCCAGCAGCTAGGGACAAGCCCTGCAAAGTTGGCTCCTTGGTGCTAAAGGTGAGAGGAGGAAGTGTTTGTGATAGCAGCCAGAAAAGAACAAGAACTGGGTGTCAACAATGACAGAAGAAGCAAAGAGCAGACCTGACACCCCCACCTCCCTTGGAACATGAAAGTCTTCTTTAGTCAAAGTGAACATGTATGGTTAAGGATGGCATTTGCCATTGGATGCCATTTGCACAAGTGCAGTCAGAGCAGACTGCATGTTAAAAATGGAAAGTTAATACGTTCAAGACACAACGCTATGCATCTCAGTAGCCAAGACAACACCTCACTGTCCCACCAGCAGAACAAGCTCAGTTTCTGAAGATGCTGGCAGCAGGAAGAGGAAACACAAAAAGCAGAGCCATTTAATGTTGCTATTTTCTAGCTCACCATGAAGCTGGAAAGCGAGAGCACATATTGGTGATAAAATTTAATGTTTAATGGCCCTTAGTAACTCTATATACATTTAAACAAAAGTAAAGCCTATTACTGAGCCAATTTCTGGTCCCAGTTCAGATATCTCAGTGCAGAAATGTAATCATGAGCTTAGAAAATATTTAATACCCAAAAAGCCCTCTCCACATTCACTAAGAAGAAGTTAACAGCTCATGGATTTTTCTACTGAGTAATAATAAATTGCCAGAGTAATAATGAAATTCAGCATGAGGTTAGTTTTATCCCGCGCAGCTCTCAAACAGAAGGGTAGCAGCTTAATAGACAAGTGCAAGATACATCTTTTTTTTCCTTCCCTGGGCCAAAATCTTACTTGTTTTCTGAGGTACAGAAATAGCTGTTTCTCAGTTCCCTAAGGGAGAGAGCAGTTCACACAACAGGAATCTTCACACCAAATGTCTGAGCTTAGATTTTAACATGGAGCTGTTGGCATTTTTAAAGATGGTGTTCCTTGAAAACTCCCTACCCGGAAATTTTTGCCTCCGGTTTCTGATAATAGTAATTTGGAACCTGAAGAAACTCAAGTAGGAAGGAGCTACTAGGAGTGTCACTGCTTGCTAAGTACATTTTCTAATGCACATTTTCATGTCTTTTTTTAAGATTGACGATGGCAACCACATGCACTGATTTATTTTGTCCATTACTCTACAATCGAGCATTTTCTCACTTTCTTTTCAAGCATTTTTTAGCTTTGAAAAGAAACAAAGTGAAAAGGAGCAGCAAATACTCTAACTCACATATCTGCCGCCCACATGCATTCAGTGTACATTTTTGTCTATTTAAAAGCTAAAGAGCAACCATATTGTGGATAATGAGGAAAGCCAGCAATAATAGCAAGTGAACTGGATTCAACTGAGCATTGTACATGAAAGCAAACATTTGACATCCTGAGTTAGAGTTTTCCCCCTTGAGATTCAGGAATGAGGCCATTGGAGAGCTGGCAGTGAGGCAATAGCTTGCCCTGCTGAGCTGCTATTGTAAGATACAATAGATAAGGGTTCAAGTTCTTGGTCCATCTGTACCAAGTGTGTGTCCATTTAAACCCACTTAAATTGGAGTCCAGCTGTTTACAGACACTGGTCTCAGCTTGGCTTATGTATCCAAGTGTCAACTTAATCAGTGGCTCATTAAAAAAGTCGACTTTTCCTGTAGCAGAACCTTTCATACAAAGTTAATGAGGAATTCAGCTATCTTTCTTGAGCAGAATGCTTATTTCAAGATCACCTACAAGAAGTGCTTCTGCATCTGGGGTGAACTCGAAAGCTGCCTAAAGCAGTGCAATAGCAAGATTAGAGGCGCAATGTCTTTTACACAGAGTAATTTCTACACATGCAATTTCTCTTCTGCTACTAATGAGAACAATTACTACATCTAAACTAGGGGCTTTGGAAAGCATAGTTAAATTTATGGGTAGGTTTAAGGTTTTAAAGACCCCAAACTTTAGGCTTCTCAGTACACTTGAGACTAGTGAAATCCAGTCTCAGTTTCTTTTCAGTCACAACACAAAATAAATTAGTTCCTTAATTTGCTTGTAACTTGATTTACTTTGGATTCAACAGCAAAATAGTGATTTATAGCAGCCGGCTTATTAACTTCAGGCTAAGAAAAAAGTATGCTGAAGATCTAATGTAGAAACATCCTGGTTATAAATAAACTGCAGGTCCCGCTCTTTGGGTGTGCTTTTTGAGGCAGACATTCTAAAACATTTTCCTGCTAATACAAATCTTTCTCGGCTTCCTTTTCAGGTGTCCTTGGAGCACCTTTTCTGACAGAAGAATCAGCAAATCAATTTATACGACTTAAACGACAGATACTGTTTTCTCAGAACTACTGGGACCCAAGCAGCAGCCAGGATGCATGGGGATATGCTGTAGCTGAACAGGTACTTGCTTTCATCTTGCAGCACCTATTGGGGTAAAAAAACCCCAAGCCCACACAATTACAGGTCTGGAATTAACACCGAACAGTAACCCTTTGGGTAAAGGGGGGGGATCTGAGTTATCAAAGCAGGCAAGACTGCTGTCAATGACTCAGTATCAAAGCTCATAATATTCTTTTCTATTTTGATCTACTTCAGGTTAGGAAATCATGGAGAGCTTTAAGCGACACAGCACAATACTACATGGGCTTGGCTCCTTTTGCCTTTGATCTGTCAACTGCTAAGCACGATGGGATTTCTCAACAGAGCATTTCATAAACTCCAAGTTTTCATTTACCTAAGTAAGTAAAATTGACCGATATAACAGTGCTTTGGGACAATAGGGTCCTAGTGGCATAACTTGGCACATGACCAAACCCCATTATAAGAGACGCCCTGAAAAAATAAAGGAGATTTGTTTTTCCTGTCCAAGTTTTATAGTCATTTGAAATGTGGCAAGCTGTTTTTTAAGTTTGCTTTGGAAGAATTCATTAAAAGCTTAAAGAATATGTATCTTTTAAAAATAATCTACAGAACCTAAACTGCAGGTATATATCCTACACAGTTGAGTTTAAAAGCAGGCACAAAGCAATTCCTGAGGAGAAAAATAAAAAGATAAAACCCTCATCTATTTCAGTGACAAAACTGTATTCAGTGTAGAATAAGACCTCAGAACAAAACAGAGAATGAGGCACAGCAGTTGGAAAAACCCATATTTATAGATGAGCACGCAAGTACATGAAATGAAGTCTCAATTTCTCTATGAGAATTTAAGACTGCAAAAATGTACACATTTTTGGGACATGTTGTTGTCAAATTTAGGGAAGGACTACTAACTGATTCAGTTTGACAAGCACAGAATACACACATTATTGCTGCAAAACACTTTTCATACCAAGATACTTCAGCCCGTTGAAATGGACAGGAGTGGGTAGAACTAAACTCATACAACTTTAAGTTTCAGTACTTAAAATAGTTACTAAGACACAGCAATCTGATTGGACTAATTGTAACGACCAATAGGAAAATGGGTAGGCTTCTTCTTATAATATGCTTTGAATTTTATTGACTTAAAATTAGCTTTCCTTTTGAAAATGAGTTTCATTTTGAGATGTGGCTTTTCAAAAGCACTTTTTTACGAGATAAGAATTTGATTTGGAGATCTCAGATTGAGCTTTCTAAGGCTGTTCCACCTGAATGGTGATGCCAGTTTCACTCACTGAGCAGAAGCAAAGTGGAAGAGAACAGCTAAAAGTCGTGATTTCCCTGCCCTCTTGCCAAGTCTTCAGCTGGTGTCTTTGTGTGACTCGAAGGAAGCACCATTTCTAATGCTGATATGGGCAGCAGTTACTTCTGCCTTATGATGAATGTGAAGTTACCTGAAGACTCTTTATCCAGTTTTCCAGACAAATCCCACCCCACCTTTTCCATCAGAAAAACTATTCAGATAGAAAATGCCTAACTGCTTCTAATTATTAGTTGTTCAATACATATGTCTGAAGGCTGTGATCCTGACCACTGTTAGGCATACTGCAAGAGGAGTTCTCCCTTCAGAATGGCAATGCCTATGATTGGCACATGACAGGACTAAAGCCAGTTTACAGGAACACAATTATAGGCACTGCCACTGAAGCATGTTTATGACTTCGGAGCCAGGCTGGTTAACTCTCAGACTGAAATCTGTTTCCCAATGCTAGTGCGACAGAAATTAAGGTCTGGAGTGCCACCTTTATCAAGTTGTATAGCAGAAAAGACATAAGCTTGAGGTTACAAAAACCATTATAGATAAAGTAAAATAACTGTTTTCGACTTAATGGCTCGTGATTAGTGATGTTTCTGAGATGGCCAAGCAAACCTACACAGCATGTACAGGAATCTGGGCTGTACTTTCGGAAGAAAGCATCTGTATCTGAAGGGGGCCTATAGGGATGCTGGGGAGGGACTCTTCATTAGGGACTGTAGTGACAGGACAAGGGGTAACGGGTTAAAACTTAAACAGGGGAAGTTTAGATTGGATATAAGGAGGAAATTCTTTCCTGTTAGGGTGGTGAGGCACTGGAATGGGTTGCCCAGGGAGGCTGTGAATGCTCCATCCCCGGCAGTGTTCAAGGCCAGGCTGGACAGAGCCTTGGGTGAGATGGTTTAGTGTGAGGTGTCCCTGCCCATGGCAGAGGGGTTGGAACTGGATGATCTTAAGGTCCTTTCCAACCCTGACTATTCTATGATTCTATAAAAGCATGCAAATCTGAAGGATAGAGCTGCTGACAGGATCCTTAAATTTGCAAAATTTTTCTAAAAGCAATTTATTCCATCTTTTCCAGTGACATTAGATCTTACATGGATATGCCACAGCAGTCTGGGACTCACCTCCAGCAACAGACAAGGATGAGCTATTAAATCCTACATGTCTTGTGCCTGACCATGTTAGGAATGGCGTGTTATGTATTTACTGTTATTGCTATTATGCATTTGGTAAGATGGCTTTCTCTCATCCCACTGTCTAAAACCAAAATGAACATGCTAATCCTCTCAATACTGCGTGTTTTATATTCATAAGTAGAAGTGAGATGTCAGTCATGGTAAATTGAATAAGCAGCTGAAGACAAGGCAACCATTAGCTTTCAGCAGATTATGTTTAAAAACCCCAGTGTTTTCAGGTAAAACGTATTTTGACTAAACAATTGTTTTTAAATGTACATTCCTGCTTCTATGACTGAAGACCTCGTTTTTATCTCTCAGTATTTCAGCTACATTTTTGAGAGGCAATTAAGTAATGGAAATCAGTCGCTTCAGGCCAGTAAATGAAGTAGAGCACATTTGCTTCAGGTTTGGCTAGGAAGAAGGGTATACTTCTGTACTCAAGGGCATTTCCATTTCTTCCAAGTACTGGGGACAAACTGGCAGGTATTATGGTATACATCTGTATCACACCTATGCTTTGTTTTCTGCATTTAAACTTCTGTACTTGGTCTTGAATGCCAAAACCACCTGAAGCCACATCTACCACTGCGAGTTGTTTTTTCTTACTTTGTGGAAAGTAGGAGCTGGTGGACACACTTATTCACTAATAAAAGCGATTAGGTTAAAATGTTCTTTATGCCAAGTTCTTGAGTCTGGAAATTTTCCCATTCCTATCCATTAGTTTGCCTTATTTCAAGACACCTTCGAATAAACAATTGGTCACCCGCATTTCTCTTGTATGTTATTAACACACTGCTAGCAACTAAAAGCTTTTAACCCTGGTCAAAATTTCTGCATGGACAAAGAAGACCTGTTTGGGAAACCAAAATGTACAGTAACCTTAAGGACAGGGTAGCCGAAGGTAGGCAATTTTTGTTCACTTTCTATCCCCAAAGAGCAGGTTCTCTGTGTTCGGAGTTCTTTGTGAATATGAATCATATAGTGACTAGTTTGGGTTGGAAAGGACCTTAAGATCATCCAGTTCCAACCCCCCTGCCATGGGCAGGGTCACCTCTCACTAAACCATCTCACCCAAGGCTCTGTCCAACCTGGCCTTGAACACTACCAGGGATGGAGCATTCACCACTTCTTTGGGCAGTCTGTTCCAGTGCCTCACCACCCTCCCATTAAAGAACTTCTTCCTTATATCTAACCTGAACTTCCTCTGTTTAAGTTTAAACCTATTCCTCCTTGTCCTATCACTGCTGGACCTCCTAAAAAGAAATGCACCTTCTGGCATTTTGGCAATCTCTACCATACTCCTAGGTATGAAACTATCCTTAGGCTGTTATTAATTTGCCTGCATAAGACAATGGGCCTGAAATTGCCATTATTCATTAGCTAAGCTGAAAATTCATTAAACACTTGAAAGAGATAAATGAGGTGCAAGTTCGGTATTTGCCATGTAGAATTTCACATCTTCAGTCACACTACTTAATTATGAACCGTTCATTCAAAGATAATGGGCGACAGATGATGTATAGACTGAAAGACCTCACTAGCTGAACAGTCATGGCCTGGCCCTTCTGTCCCCCTTCCCTGTGTTGCTTGACCTTGGATAGGTGAGTGCTCTGGATCCTAAACCTTATATTATTTGCATCAGTAACAGTGCAGGCATAACAGAGTTACCAAAACACTTCAATTTATAGCAAAAGCCAGGGCTGTATTGACTTTTATTCTGAATGGATATAAAGTAAAAATAAAGGGATCTGCTCCCTCCACCTGTCCCCTTGATGGTTCCAGAGATATTGCCACTCTGCAGGCAGCAATGCTCAAGCCACTTGGGCATCAGCTCCTGAAGTGCTGCTGTTTTCAGCCCTACCTCTCTAACCGATGGTGTTGCTGCCAGGGCAGGGGTTTTGGATCCGCTTGAGAATTAGCTACAATGGTCATGCTTGCATGGCAAGTTAAACCAAAATGGGAGTTAGTTCAGGAGTTAATTCTCAGAAAGACAACAGGCATCCCTGGAGTGTGGACGAGAGTCCACTAACAAGGTGGAGGGTAAAATGAAGTGTGTCTTACCTCTACTGTCAGCTGGTGAGGTAACTCCGCAACCTTTATGAACCGTTTTATGCTTGTCAGAGCCCTATAATTAGAATAACTACTACCTTAAATCTATTGCCACAATGACAGGCTTGTGTGGCTGGCTTTGTAACCAAAACATCAGACAAAGCCAGGGGATGCAATCTGACAGTTCTGTTGTACTTAGACATGACTAATTCCTTTAAAGAAGCTGTTCTGAAAGCCAGAGCCTCAATCTGCAAAGCCGTAGCTTCAAGCTAATGTCACTAATTCAGATAATTAGTCTTGCCGAATTAAATGGGAAGAATTGTGCATGCATGAGTAGCAGTGGAAGATGAGGTGCTTATTTCATGTTATCAAAATACATGCCACTCATGACAACGAACAAATAGCTGTCACAAGGATTTGACTGTGAAACTCCTTCCTCTGCATTTATTAATAACCAGGGAAAATATTTACTAGGTGAATTTGCTTCCCTTGTTTATCTTCACATACTATTTCAGCTCCTTAACACAAGTAACTTTGGACCGAGGTCCCCCGTCCAGGCCTAACAGTGATTCTGTGACCCTTCTTTACTGCCTTTTCCCACACATCTTCGTGTTGCCACCTACATGTTTTATGTCCTTGCTTTTTCTACGCAGTACGGATACACATGCAGTGCCTTATTGATGGAAAATCCAAAGAACAGGGCTGAGGGTGGGAAAAGAGACCTCGGGACACAGGATCTTTGCTTCTAGCACAATGGAGAGCAGTTCTGCTATGTAGTTTCTGATACTATGACTGGTTTTGAGGGGAAAAAAACCCAAAACAAATTGAACCCTAAATGACACAAACTC